TATATTTTTTTAAACATTAATGTTGAAAAATATTAATTAGTGAATGGAAGGAAAACACAATCAAAATTCACATTAAAAATTAATTAAAAAATGGTATTAAAAATAAATCAACAAGGACAGCAGTGCAGTAAGAGCAATTATTTAGTCCAACAAGGTTATATATAATGAAAGGGATAAATAGAACAGACTTTTAGTTAAAAACAAAACAGTGTCAGGAGAGAAGAGGGGACCCGGCGGCATAGCTCATCCCACCTGGTGAACGTCCCCTCCTCTCTCTGCGTCCATCACCAGCAGGCATCAATTAGATGGCTGCACATGCGCATGGTGACGTCACCCGGTGCGGTCTCCGCAGCGGGTGACACCCGGCCTCGGGACGCCCCTCCATACAGGGTCAATAAACCTTCCAGCATGTCTTTGGAGTGTAGGAGGAAACCAGGGCAAGCACAGAGAGAACATGCAAACTCCTGGCTGATAAGTGTCCTGACTCCTGACTAGGATTTGAACCAGGGACCCCCAATGCTGCAAGGCAGAAATGCTAACCAGTAAGCCACCATGCTGCCAAATGAATGACTTCCTGCTGCAGCAGATGCCAGAAGTTTGCCTGGGTGAACATGCCAAATCTGGCCATTTTGTTCCGTGAACAGTTCAGGGCGAACATTGCGTTGCTGCAAACTGGATCCCCATCGGTGTTTTACGCAAGAGCTGATTGGGTGATTGAAAGACTCTGCCTCATCCTGGGCCCCGCGTGTTAAGATCCCCACACACCTTGCGATAATAGTACGATAATATCGCAAGGTGTGTGGAAGCCTGCGACCTCTACTACTGTAAGGTCGCAAGACTTTTATCTTGCGAACATGTTCGAAAACCTGCCGAGCATCGTACGATGTTCGGCGGGTGTGTAGCATGTTCGTAAGATAAAAGCCGGACGGGCCGGTGTGCGCAAGCGCACACTGCCCGTTCGGCATTGCGGTCATCGGACCCCCGCCCCTCAGGGGGCGTGGCTTGCGATCATCGCAAGTACGATCTGCCTGTCCAAGATGGGCAGATCGTACGTTTTTTTAAAGTACTTTACAACCATCGCAAGACAAAAGTCTTGCGATGGTTGTAAGGTGTGTGCCCAGCCTTAGTTTCACTTCAC